ACCCCCCCTCGCCCCTCAGTTTTCCTAGTTTCATAGGATATGCAGCAGATATTATGACTGCATACTTATTAGAAGATCTAATTGACAAACAGAATGAAAATGGGAGGCGATCTTCGGGAAGTGAAAGATGAGCTCTGTGTGGTTTCCTCTAGGGGGAAGAGCCACAAGTTTGTAGGTCACTGTTTCCCAAGCACTACAGCCAGTATCTCCCAGTAACCAAACGCTGTGATTAACTGTACGGACACTACACACACCTCAAAATAACATTCAGGAAATAAACATGTGCACAACCCTTCTCATGAAATCTGAGATGTTGCAGGGCTCAGTGATGAGGTCATGGCTCCAGCGACAGGTTCTCTTACATGGAACTTCCATTCATGGAAGCCTGGGGTGGGCAGGAGGTGGTAAAGTTGCAACCATCACACCACTTTCCCAATTTGTGCCTTAGACTCCAAGACTTCGGGGAGGGAAAGAGGAGCGAGTAACCAACCCATGCAGAACAGAAATCAGACCCTGCAGTAGACCTAACAACCAAGGTCACACGGCTTTAGAGATTATAAAGATGGCACCTGTGTGGAGTCCCAGGAGTCACAGAGAAGGGCCTCAGGGAAGCTGCCCGCTCCAGATTTCCAGGGCATCCGTCATCACTGGCAGGGTGGCCTGAAGAACGCAGAGGGCTCCTGGCAAAGCCTAGTCTGTGGGGAAGGAGTGAGGACAGCGCCTGGAGGCTCAGACACTGAGCGCCAAACCCAGCCAGCATCACAAGTGAACTCAACCAACAACCGAGGGCAACAAAGGCCAATCCCACACAGCGCACTTCCGGACAACAGAAAGGAGGGCTTCCAAACTCACCTCAGAATAACGCTGACTCTGAAACACACACACACACACACACACACACACGCACTCACGCACGCACGCACGCACGCACGCACGCACGCAGAGTGAATAAAGGCATGTAGTCCAGCATTTCAAGATTGAGTTAACATTCTAAAATTTTCATATTTAAAATAGGAGGAAACCTCACCACTACATGAGTGCAGACAGAGATCACTTGAGCAACGCCAGCGGGCTCAGGCTGAGGAAGAGTCTGGAGACCTGACACAGGGTGTGTCACCTGGACTGGAGAAACACCGGAAGTAGCCCATCCCTAGAGACAAGGAGGGTCACTGGCATGAACTGCTATGTCTAATGGCACAAACAGCACAGATAAAAGTTGAGAACATCACAAAGCGGGTGGCGTATTATCTTCATGCATGGACCATGAATTTTTATACAGAAAATCCCATGATCTGAAAAATAACCCTGAGAACAAATACAGATGCTGCCCCTACCCACCGGGGGAACTGGTCCCAGACCCCCAAAGATGCCAGAATGCAGGGACGCTCAAGTTGCTTGCATAAAATGTGTGACTTTTGCCTACAACCTCCCCCTCTTCCTGCATACTCTAAATCACCGCTAGAATGCTTACAGAATGTGTGTGTAAACAGGGCATGACCTGTTGACTTAATGCGTGGTTGAGGGAATAATGACGAGGAACAAAGCATGTCCACTCTGCAAACAGAGGCAACTTTCTAAATACTTCTGATGAGTCCAGAACTATGAAGCCCTCGGGTAAGGAGGATCGACGGTGCATAAGCCCCCTTTCCACGGCAGAAGCATTCCAAGACCCTAGTGGAAACCTATTAACACTCCGCCTATGATACCATCTAGGCACAGAAAGGGACACGCTCCAACACCATGATAAAAGAGAAAAATGGCGAGAGACTGTGCTGCCTGTTAGGTGAGTGTGGGCCTCTCAGATTCTCTTACTGTCCTATTCCCCCTTCTTGTGATGATGGATGTGACTTGCACACACTGGTGCTTCTCTTGCCAGCATCCCTCCTGTCATGATCCAGGGTCATCTGAACACAAGCACTGCAGAAGTACAAAAGATCTGGGTGATGGCAGCTGGGCACATGGACAGGGCACGGCCGGATAAAAGCATCATGGACAGGGCACGGCCAGATAAAAGCATCATTTTCACCCCAGGATGAAATGGATGGAATCCCAGGATTTCACCATTACACAGAATAATGACGTGCAACCTAAAACCATGAACTGCTTCTGGAATTCTCCATTTGTTTCTAGACCCCCAGCTTGATCACAGGTAACAAAGAGCAGAAAGTTAACCCCAGGGAAAGGGGAGTGGGTACTACACATGAATTTACCCAAGATTGCAAACAAAAATCAATGGTAACGACCAGCAGCAATAATTTAAAAGTTAAAAAAGTTTTAAGCGTATACAGAACACCGTCAAGAACAAAGTAGTTAGAGATCAATCTTACCAAAGACACGCAGGGCCTCTCTGCTGGAAACTACAAAAGCCTGCTGAGAAAAATGAAAGGAAACCCAAATAAATGCAGAGAGAAATCATATCTCAAATTGCTGTAGTCAATATTGAGAAGATGTCAACTTGCCCGGAATTGACATCGACAGCTCCCAGTCAAATCCTAACAGGAAGCTACAAAAATGGACACCTGGATGCATGCTAGAGGCAAAGCACAAAGCTAAGAGAGGAAAGAGCCAAAGCAATCTTAAAAAAACAAAAAAGAAAAGCAAGACAACTTGTGCTAAGTCTTAATCAGGTAAAACAAAGTCACAGAACAGTACCCACAAATGCATGTTTTCCCCCACAAACCATGAAATAACTAACCAACCACATAGGGAAAATGAACTATACACCTCATAAAGAAATAACCCCAAATGGATAACTTGAACACACACACCAAAAAAAACTAAGGATAAAGCTTCTGAAAGAAATTGTAGAATACCTTGGTGAAATTACAGCAGGCAATTATGTCTTAAAGACAAAAATTGCTAGAATTAAAGGAAAAAGGGGTAACTCATTCCAAGTTAGAAACTTCTCATCAAAAGAAATTATTATCCGAGCAAAATCATAAGCCACCAAGAAAAAAATCGTATCGTTCATAGATCTGACAGATGACGCATTCCCAAAACCACAACCAATACATGCAACACACCCAAGGAGACACAAAATGGGCAAAGCACTTGAAATGAAAATTAAAGGCACAATGAGATACTACATGTTACCACCTGGAGGGCTAAAAATTTTACAACCTGAGAACATCAAGTACTGGCAAGAAAGCAGAGCAATCGAAATGCTCACGTGCGGCCAGCGGAAACAGCAGATGACACAACTTTGAAGAAAGTTCTGGCAAATTCTAAAAAGGTCAATACATGCATGCTGCTCAATCTGGTAATTCCTAACCTTGGAATTTGCTCAAGAGAAAATGAAAACAGATGTCTACAAAGAGGCTTGGCCAAGGCTCCCCTGCTAGGATTGACTTGGGGGGCACAAGGGAACTGTTGGGGTGTACAGGCTCTTGGCTGGGGGGAAGCGGTACTGCTAGCTGTAGGCTTTTGTCAAAACCTATTGAACTGTACACTCAAAATCTAAAGCTTCACTACGTAATGTTTATTTCAGTCTTTCAATGTTGAAAACTGTTCATTCCGAATTTCCATCATTTTCCTGTTCTCTAGCTTTCCAATAGTCCCCCAAATTAACTCTCTCTGTCTGCCAGTTGCCCTTAGCAACCAGGTTCCCATCGCTGGCTCACTGACCCTAGCTTCCCACCCTGACCGCTCACCTGCAGTCCCAAGGGCCTGGGATACCAGCCTAGGAGCCTCGAACCCAGGAAAGTTGTAGATGGCAGGCAGAGAAGAGACCACTGGCTGAGTTCTACCACGTGTCTTCCTGAGAAAGTCAACTGCATCTTGTTCCCACGGCCAAATCTGATCTCTCTTGATTTGAAACGTCCATAATGTAAAAACTCATCACAATCCAGAATGGATACTTCGCTAAATGTATCTTATAATACTTGCTTTTTATTTTTATTTTTCCCCCAAACATGCTGTCAGGTTTTCTCTTTTTCATTTCCTTTTGGAGGAAAAAAAAAATCCAACACATAATTTCTATGATTTATTGTGCAACTGAACATGCTAAGAGATAAAATGACATTTCCCTACAAAGTATTTGGTGCCTGTGATTTTCTCAACACCACAGCCAGATGTTTCTCATAGAAGCTGGGAGGCGCATGTTCACACAGTTCAAAGGTTTGCTTATTTTTTAGTCCTAAGAAAGACGATATTGATTGTAGCACGCAGCTCTACAGGAAAGCCGGCCGGGGAGGAGAGCGGATATTTATTACCACACTTGTGCTCATTATGGTCGCCTCTGACAGGGGTCCATTAAAATCAATTTTTATGTTTCTTATGTATTTTCTTTATCTAATGTTCTTGGCATTGTGTTTATTAGCCAGTTAAGACAAACACCAAGCCCAGGAGTGGGTTGGTTTTTTTTCCTCTCTCTCTTTCTGTCAGAAATAACGAGAAGTGCAATTTTAATACAACTCCTCACAATCAATGAATGGAGGAAATTAAATGTTATGTTTCAGAATGAAACATTAGGAGTGCTTTAAATTTTTTATGTTTTTACAATTAGGGAAATATAGTGGGGATCATGCAGAGAGAGGCTCCATCTTCCTGGAAAGGAACGGTGCTCCCCAAGTCCCCCAGGAAAAGCTTACTCCACAGGCCCCACCCCACCCCACCCTGAGCCCCATGAAGGAAACGCAGAGTGGAGGCGCTCAGGGTGCCCTGCAGGGCGTGTGGGCCTTTCCCCGGACGCTGCGCCGCAGGCCCGTCCTGCCTGAGATCGGCGCGATGAGGCGCACACCGGCCGGTGGCAGCCTCCTAAAAATGCTCACCACTCCCACTGCTTGGCCCATCACGGTGCGCCCCAGAGGTGGTCACGAAGCAACCCTGGATGAGACATGGCTGATGGCTAAAGGGTGACTGGCACTGTTTACTGAGACACCGGTCATGGCGGCTGATGGCATCAGACCCAGTTATCACCCGGCATCGGGTGGAGAATGTGCAGGAATCACGTGCGATTCTGACCTGGACTTCTGGGATACGTCAGGGTCACTGGTACTTACTTGGCACTGGTCATCTTCCCGCTGGGCAGCCGGATCTGGTGCAGGCCTTGCCCACAGCCCGCCAGCTCAATCCTCCCCAGAGGGCTGTCCACCGTCTTGTACTGCAGAGCACACGTATCCATTGTGCCACCTACCTGGAGAGGAACAATCATTGTTTATTGTTATTAAGGGAGAGCAAGCTTTTTACTTTTTTTAAATTGTTATTTATAAAGGTGATTACAGTTACGTCAGTCAGGTAAAGAGTACATTTTATTTTGGACAATGTCATCCAGGAACAATTTTTAAGTCAAGTAAGAACATGTGTCTAGAAACTTTTGGTCAGAAAAGAAAATGAATGAATGAATGAATGGAGGGAGGGAGGGAGGGAGTTGGAGCGCGCGAGGGATGAAGTGTGGGAAGCCAGAGTGCTTGCGTGGCCTGGGCAGGAGGTGAACCGCTGTGGGGGTGATGCGCACGTGACACGGCCCAGCCCTCCTGGGTGCACTCCGGCTGGGGTCCAGCGGGAAGGGGGAGCCCTGGGCCCGTTCGAGGCATGGGCTGGGCTCTGTGGATTCCCACTCCAGACCATCTCGGAGCCCCGCAGGCCAGCCCTAACCATCACCATAGTACCCACCGAAAGCCACAAGAGGGGCTGACATTAATTGGTGGCAGGAAAAAAAATTGATTTTTCATGGCTATTTGGAGACCTCTGAAAAATGAAGTGAATTTCGTTTCATCTCCCTTTTAGCATGAATGGCGTTTAAATAACCATGTTCTGAATTAAGCAGTTGGCGCCAGAGGCCACTTCCCACCATATTAAAAGCCAGAGACCTAGAGACAGTGAGCGCTTTCTCTCTCCTGGGCTTGCACTGTTCCAGGCCTGCCACACATGTCTAAACCCTGGCCTCCCAGCACCGTCTCTGCAGCTCCATACCTTTCCTGTTTAATCATGTCCACGTCCGGGGTTCTATATCACGAAAATGCTCAGAAATCAGCCAAAAGGCAGGAATCCCAGGAGGTCCCCGGCCCCATGGGCCCAGGCTGAAGATGGTGGTGTGGTGCAGCACCCAGGACGGGGCCTGGACCCCTCCGTCCCCACACAGCAGTGGGGGACGAGGCACGTTTGCAGTCCCCCAGAGCAAGAAGGGCGGAGGCCAGGAGCAGCCACAGGCTTGCATGCTCGGCCCACCTGAGGTCAGGTCTGGGGGGTCCTGGAATTAGGGAAACCCCAGAGAACCCTGTGTTCCTACTTCCTGTGGAGGTGGGGAGGGAGCGGACTGGCGGCCTCACAGGTGAGCTGCCCTGGTCACGTGCCATGGGCGACAGGCGGATTTTGCAGGGTGACCACCGACAAGGGTAGCACCTCCTGACGCCTGTGGTAAAGAACTCTCACATGGAGGACCTGGGAGTGGAGTGGGGTACAGACCAGGCCCTTGCTCTGGGTCCCTGCAGCACGCCAGGCCTGCACAGCTCCTAGAAGGCCTCTGCACACTCACCTAAACAAGGCGCTCCATGCACACGTGCAACAGGTGTGCAAAAAATGTCTGTGCATCCAAGCCAGCCCCCAACAGGCACCATCTACATTTAACCATCAAACTTGAAGTGGGTGGCTCATGCCTGTAATCCCTTCCTCATTCCTCAGGAGGCTGAGATCTGAGGATCTCAGTGTGAAGCCTTCTGCCATGCCCTGCGTGAAACCGCATAAACGGGGCAGAATCGGGGAGCATCCAGAAAACTACAGTCCAGTGTGCGTGTGAGTGTGAAAGAAATGTCACACACGGAGAAAGAGAAGAAAGCTTGTTTGTGTAGAGCTGACAGACTGCTTCAGAAGTCCCCAGAACTTCAAGCACTTCAGAGAAACGTTTCCAGATGACAACTACCGCTCACAAATCCATGCCACAGCCTGGTCGACAGACAAGCTCTGTGTCCAACCGGGAACTGACATGTGTGTGTCCAGCATGGCCCAGAGCACTCTGTGAGCCCCGTGGGAAGCTTAGGGAGGAACTCACCTGTTCCTGCCCTGTCTTCCTACCCCTGCCCCTGCCTGCCCGTCCCCCCTCTTCCCCCACCCGCCCTCCCCTGCCCCTGCTGAACACACAAGCACCACCCTTGAAGGCCCAGGCTTCAGGACTGGTGGTGAGGGCTGGAGGGGAGACAGTCGCAGCTCAGCTGTTACAACGCGGAGGAAAACCTCTGCCAAAATGCAGAGAAAATTGACAACTCGCAGAACTCTTAAGGCAGCACAGGAGACCTGCTGTGTGTGCCCAGCTCCAGTTCCTGGAAGCTACACGTTAGTCCTCTCTGCTCATTTAGAAGATGGGAAAAGTTGTGGACTTTTGCTGTGCTCACTTTCTAGCAATCATTGAAATAAGGAGCTGGGGATAAAGCAGAGAGTATCATTCCATAATCAATGTGCCACTCTGCCAGCCAAATACCCGCGCTGCAGATGAAAAGCAGAAGCAGGTTAGAAAAACAAATGAACCCCGAACCTCCTGTGGATGAAGAGGGCAAAACTTCACATCCACAGACTGCTGAGCTTTTCTGAAAATGAAGCCAGGATCCCTCACAGGGAGCCTGACCAGGGCAGGTTGGATACAGCTTTACCAGGGGACCCCCAAAGCCAGCAGAGCTGCACCGCAGCACCCAGACCCGGTCAGGCCCAATCTGTGCCAGTAGGATCCCTGCGCTCCACAGGCTGGGTTCGGGAACCAGAGTCCACCACAGGCGGACATCTCAGAAAGAAAGACAATGGCAGAGGCACAAGCCTGGGCCTTAGACTGGATTTCTGTGTGTCAGATTCAGGGAGGGCAGCAGGCAGCCACTCGGGGGATGAGCCGCTCCCAGGCTGCTCTGCCTTCCCGCACCCCAGGCTTGTGGGCATACAATGAGTGATGCACCTGCCTGGTTGCACCACCTCCTCGGCCCCACGGGTCACAAAAGGGACACTGAGCCACTGAGAGGTGGCCCTGCTATTTCCAAGGAAACTGACAAGTCCCTGAGGTCACAGGGTGAGAGCACATGCACAGAGCCCGGCCCAGCTCCGGCAGACCCCAGGACTTGAGCCCAGTTTGGCCGGGAGGGAAATGCCAGGGCACCCAGCACCGGGAACCGCAAAACGCAGCCTCTCCCGCGCTCCCGCTGCAGGGCTGGGGTGGCTTTTATTCTAAATAAAAGTTTTCTTTCACCCTTACTTCCACGTGCAAATTGGAGGAGAAGGGCTTCACACCCTGACACCTTGGGAAGGAAGCAGACTCCAGGAGAGGACACCCCGAATCCTGTACAACGTGGGGAGCAGTGCCCTCACCCCCAGACACCTGGCCATCGCGGGCGCCCAGGCCGGCCATGGATCTCAGCCACCAGCTGCATGTCCTGACAGCTCACAGCTGGCGTCCTCACTCCGTGACGTTCCCGGGTCACCTTTCCAAGCTCCAATCTTGGTCCAGCACGGCTCATTTCTATTTTGCTAACAGTGAAAAAACACACCCACTCCACAGCACATTTTCCCTCATTTTTAACTTCTCTGTGCTGGAGTTCCCCACGCCCGCAGGGCAGCCCGCGTGTCACAGGAAGGACGGGAAGCTGGCGTTCGGTGTGTGGGGATGCCAGGCCTTGGGCCCGGGGCGGGATGGGGCGGGACGGGGCAGGGCGCGGGTCACCACCACGGGCCTCACTTCCCACTCTGCCAGCAGCACCGTCCTCACGGGCCATGAGGCTCCTAGCACTTCAGGTTCCAACAACTGTGGCGCTGCTTGTGCTAGGCTGTCAGGTACAGGATGGCGGCCAGGACTGGACGCAGGGTGGCAATTCCCACAGCACTTATGACGGGAGCTGCCGCTGAAATATGGCCCTGCAGTGAACACCAGTCCCAAGGGGTGAATACCAGTCCCACAGAGCGGACACCAGTCCTGCGGTGAGGGGTGGGGCGTGGCCAGAGCAGAGTGAGACAGTAATGTCACCACAGTGGCGACCCTGCCCTGGGCAGGCAGCAGGGGACACACGGCACCGTGGCAAGTCAATCCCCTGTGCCCAGGAAGGGGCCTTCTGGTGCTTGTCCACAGCAGGCCACGGGAAAAGAAGAGCATACAAATGGTGAGTGCAGAAAACATGGGCTTTCGGCCTGGGTGACCCACTCCGGGAACCGGCTGGGAAAGCCCAGGCCCAGGCTCAAAAACAGCCCTCACCTGCGCCCACACAGGGCCTGTGCAGCCGGCCGGTCACGGTGGGATCCAGGGACCACCACAGACCCTGCACCACCCATCTCCGCCACGCCCAGGGAGTGAAGTCCCAGCGGGGCTGGGAATCACAGCGGAGTCGCTCTTGGGGAGGCCGGCAGAGCTTACTGCAGCCTGACACGGGTGCCAGGGCTGACTCCCTTCTCCACTCCCCGCCGTGGCTGCCTCAGTACTGTCCTCCAGGTGTGACCTGCAAACACCGAGGAGCTCAGGCTGGCAAGACCGGCGAGAGAGCTGCCGCCATGCCGGCAATGGCACCGGAGGGTCCCCCACCCACAGCAAGGCCGCTCAGGCCAGCGTGGTCCCCAGCACGTGGTGCCCGGCACACGGTCCTGTTGGGACGGTGTCCAGGCACCTCAGTTCAGCACACAGGCCTGAGTCTGCTGGGCCTCCAGCCACTGGCCTGCTCCCAAGCCCCCGCTGGCTGCAGTCTGTTCCCCCGGCCACCAGCACGCTTTCTTCTGGGCACACGACCCCATCTTCCCACGCCCTGTGCACAAGGCCCTGAATCCTCCTCTCTACCTGCCAACAACAACGCCCAAGCCGCCTGGCTAAGCTTCGTACCCACCACTGTCTCTGACCTACGGCCTCAATGAAGATTCCATCACTAGCATTTTCAGGAATGTTCTCAAGCTCTAGGGAAGCAGGGTCTGCTGTCCCCTGATGCCAAGTGCTGGGGGCCTGGCATGGCTGCTTCCTGGAAGATGAGCCAGCAGGATGATGCTTCCTTCCCCGAGTCAGGAGCAGGCTCTGCAGAGGCTCTGGGGTGTGGGGCTGCTAGGCTGGGGGTCAGGGGGAGCGTGTGTGAATTTATGTCCAGCTCCCAGTGGGAAAAGCGTGATGCTCCACACGTGTGCGCGGGTGGCCGTGAGCGTGCCGGGCCTGGACGGCTGGTGTTCTCTGACAAGCAGGGGACACCACCT